ACTTATCCTTTTTGCCATCCTTCTGGCCCCTTGGTCCTGTCATGCCAGCCCTGCCCTGTGCTCTGGGTCCCACATTGCTTCTGGTCACCCTTTACCCTCACTGCCCACATCCTCCCTACAAGATCAATTCCTTCAGCAAACAAACCTGTCTCCCGCTAAAACAAAGCAAAACTCTTGGGTGCACATACACCCCTCTGCAATTACCGTCCCATTTCCTCCCTTCTCTTCACAACAAAACTTTACGACAGAGTCGTCCTAGTCACTGCTTCCTCACCCTGCCCTGTTACTCACCCCACTCCAGCTGAAACTGCTGACCTCGCTGTTCCACTGAAACTGCCGTCAAGGCTGACAACAATCTGTTGTCCTAAACAACAGTTACCTCTTCCTCTGACTCAACCTCTCAGCAACCTGTGACATAGCTGATGGTCCTTTTTGAAGCACTTTCTTTCAGCTTTTAGTTCAAACCACAAGTATTCGTTTTCTTTCACTGCAGTAACAAATTACCACAAATGTAGTGGCTTAAAACAACACAGATTCATTATTTTATAGTTCTGTAGGTCAGAAGTCCAACATAGGTCTCACTGGGGTAAAATTAAAGTGTTGGCAGAGCTGAGTTCTTTTCTGGAGGTTGTAGGGGAGAATCCGTTTCCATGCTCACTCGGGTTGTTGGAAGAATTCAGTTCTTGTGGCTGTAGGACTAAAGTTCTATGTCTTGGCTGGCCATCAGCTGAGGGGGCCAATCCCCGCTTCTAGGCCACCTGCTTTCCTTGGCTCCTCTGTCTCCAAAGCTAGCAACAGTGGGTCAATTCCCTCTTATGCTTCAAATCTCTCGTGCCATCATCGTATCTGAGCCCCTCTTCTGCCATCCTTGTCCATTTTTAAAGACTTGGGTGGTTAGATTAGGCCCACCAAGATGATCCTGGATCATCTCTCCATCCCAAGCTTCTTAACTGCATCTTCAAGGTGCATCTTAACTGCACCTTTTGCCACATAAGGCAATATATTCAACTGGTTCTGCAGATTAGGGTATGGACATCTTTGGGGTCCACTGGTAGGTCTACCATATCATCTCCTCGTTCTCCTCCTACCGCCCCTGCAACCCCTTCTCTTCTCAGTCTCTTTTACTGGCGCTTAATCATCCCATGACTCTAAATGTGAGGCCCACAGCTTCAGCTCTCTTATCTCCTACACTTCCTGCTTAAGCAGTCCCAGCCAATTTTTTTTTTAAGATGCTGATGTTTTAATGAAAAAGTAGAAAATAGAGTATAAAATTCAGTATCACCTATTTGTCTCAAATACAAGTACAGTGAGTATTAAACAGAAATGACAATGTAATAACAAAAACAGAACTTGCATGTTTGCCTAGACTGAATTAACTCTATTTCTCCGAATTTGGGGTATATGTATGGCAAGTCGAATTTCTGATCTCAGCAACTTTTATGAGTTTAACACTTTTCAAATACTGAAGGCGGCATTTTTCTATTCACATGGACTTCTTACCTATGCATATGCTGACCCGTAAATAGTTTGCCTTCCATATTTGGTCTCCAAGCACTACATATGTAGATTTCAAGTCAGTCTATGTGGCCCAGTGGTGCTCTCTTTAGAAAGCATTGGTAATACATTTGGCAAATGTGTTGAAATATGAACTATAAATTAACAAAGGTATAATCTTGCTGATATGAAACAAAGAATCCCAAATATTCATTTTTTTAAAAATGCTAACATCAGAAAAACTACAATTATCATCAGCTCTATTTCCTGAAAATTCAGTTGAGGTAACCTCTGCAAGTCACAGCTCCACATTTACATACAGTTCTGACCCTCTTTCTGGCTGGGCTGTGGTCAATAGAATCTGAAGATATATCTCCAGAACCTTTCATTTGATAATCAAAAGTCAGCTCTTCTTCAGCATTTATGGTTCTCGTGGAAAACAATGCTATTCGGGGAAGACGAGTATCGAGGTTATCAATGAAAACATTGAACACCTGAAGATTTGGGTCACACCTGTGATTCACAAAATGAGACACATTTCCATATCGAGCTGCATCCACTGTGAATTCATCAGATTCATAGTCCAGATCAAAGAGATATGTGATTCCTTTGTTGTCATATAACTGCCCCCGTCTTTCAGCTTCTTCACTTGTGATTACCTCTCCAACGTATTCCATGACAAAACTCATTCTTTTAATTTTCACAAGGGTTTTTACACCCCAGCCACGGCTATTGCTAGTTCGAAAGATGCAAAGTGAATATTGTGTGCCTTTTTGTACAATCCTATTGGGACAATCAGGTCCACATCGACACTTTGAGTTGCACTCATAGATGGGGGTACCAGGCGGGATTTTAATTTGTTGTTTTTTGTTATAAGCCAAAAGAACTCCAGCTTCAGCAGGACAACATTTGTCAAAGAAGCAATCCGTGCACGAACAACCATATGTAGCTTCGTTAACTAAGCTGATACTAGGAGCTGGTTTATATTCATTAATGTAGTAGAAGTCTGAAGGTGGGCCCTCTAAGTCAACAGTATTTTCAACAAATATCATTCCTTTATGATTCTTTCTTCTGTTGAGTTCATCCTGCCATCTCTGCAGAGCTATCCTTTGTTTAGCCTTCTTCACAATGTACTCAGCAACCGCAGGTTTCAGAGTTTTGTTATTGTCTTTTGGAGTTATTGCTTTGCCTTTCTTTACCTGAGATAAATAATTATGCTTGTCATTAGAGAATTGCTGAAGCAGTAATGGGCACTTGAGATTTTGTAAAGATTCCCAGTATTTGTAGAATCTGGCCATCCTTTCCATTTTACAAGATAATATTCCATATCCTCCTCGCGTCTCGGCCCCTGCCGCTGCCATCTTGAGGAGCTTTCATTCAAACTCAGTCCCAGCCAATTTTGTGCCTTGAAAATACCATCTACAAACAAATGCTCCTAAATTATTTTTTTCAGCCCTAAGTTCACTCTTGAGTTCAAGCATATATTTCCATTTGAATACATGACTGCCATCTCAAACTTAGCATCTCCTAACTGAAACCCTGGGTTTTCTTTACGAACACTGTTTCTCACCTAGCCCTGCCCAATCCAGTAAAGGCATCACAGCAGCTCACTGCTCGGGCCCCAGTCTTAGGAGTTCCTCCTCATTCAGGTCTCAGTGTTAATGTTATCTCCTCAGAGAGGTCGTCTTGGCCATCCTATTGAAAGTAGTTTGTCATTTCCACCTGCCCCAACCCCCACTCCTGCCTCCCCTCACTGATCATTCTCTCTCAGTTTACCCTATTTGATTTCTTTCTCTCCCCTTGTCTCTGTTGGTAATGATCATGTTTATTTCTTTGCTTCTGTTAAATACTTCCTACTCACCTCACTCTCCGACCCCCCTACCCCCAAAAGGTAAGATGGATGAAGGCAAGGACCCTGTCTGTCTTGCTCACTCCTGTTACCTGGGACCTAGAAAAGTGCCTGCCCAAGGAAGGTTTGTTGAGTGGATTAGCAGTGAATCTATACCTCTGTCCCACACCCTCTGGTCTCTCCTTTTCCACACTTCCTGTTCCTATTACAAGCTCTGGCCTGAGAACAAATCAGGCTGCTAGAGAGCTTGGTTCTTAGAATCCTCCAGGTCTCCAGAAATAGCTCTTACTTATCACTAGTTAAAAAGTGAGTTTTTTTTGCAGCACTCAATCTGTTAACAACTTTGAAGATGCCTGACCAGACCCAAGTAATAATTATACTTGTTAGCGTGTATATAATACTATTTTCCAAGCACTAATCTAAGCACTTGACCCATACTGAATAAATGCACTTATTTCTCAGTTATTCCTTACTGTAATTATCTGAATTTTACAGATGAGGAAAGCAAGGCCTAGGGAGTTTAATTAGTGTGGTCAATGTTTCATAAAAGAAAATGGCAATAACAACCCCCTGAGACCCAGACCTGAAGGGCCTCTGCTAGAGCCCTGAACTTTAAAAGATCTTGCTCTGGTGGTGTTTCCCTAAGGCAAAAATCCTTGGAGCCCCAGGGAAAGCCCACATGCCCCTTCTAAACCACACTCGGGTACTAGACACTATGGAATTCTAGCCCAACAGCCATGAGTCTGCTTCCAGGGCTTCTTCTCCGGTCCGTCTTCCTTAGGGTGGATGGTGCCACCTGAATGGGCCCAAATGGTGGCCAAAAGGTAGCTTCTTGTGAAAGGTGTGGACAAAGCTTGAATATGCAGGCTCAGCATCCACATGTGTGGGCAAGGCCCCTAAAGAGATGTGACAGAGCAGAGCATGGGAAGAGAAGGGGGTGGGTCATGGTCTGAGGCCCACTTTTCCTGCACCTCCTCTTTCAGACACAGAACTCCGTGGAGTATTATGGGGGTACAGACTTTAAAAAAACAACAACAAAAAAAAAAAAAAAAAAAAAAAAGAACTCCGTGGAGTCCAAGAATTCTAAATTCAAACCTGGCCTTCCAGATCATTATGAAGCTTTATGTATCAAGGTAGGAGGACAGAGCATATTTTACTTAACAGTCTGTTGGCTTGATTGATAACTTTAAAATATTTTAAGTATTTACGCATATGGCCTGTGGCCTCTATTTGTCTTCCCCCAGGGCCCCACAAATGTTGGGGTGGGTCTAAGCAGCACAGCCAGGGTGTAGACCCAAGCAGCAGGCTCAGGGCTCCCGCCCACGCTGTAACTGGGAAGCCTGTGTGTCACATGCCTTCCCAGAGGCCTGGCCCCCTGCCCCAGAGGGTGCTCTGCACAGCGGTTACCCAGTTCTGTCTTCCAGTTGTCTCCCCTGAGAGCTCAAATGTTAGTCATTTCCACCGTATCCAGCAAACCCTGTGACGCTCTCTCACTGGAGGGCTGCTCTGCCTAGTGTCCTGGCACTAGTCTCTAGGGATGTGTAGAGTGGTTCAAAGCATGTGCCTTGGGTCCAACTCCCAGCTCCACCATTTATTAGCTGTGTAACGTTGGGCAAATTACTTAACCTCTTAGCCTATTTTGTGTCCTATTTTCAAGGATTTAATGGGACAGTCTACACTACCACTTGCTCCAAGGCCTGGAGACAATGCCCTGTGGTTCAGTAGTTCTCTAGGAAGCTGCCTGGGGCAGACCCCACAGCACAGCACCAGCAGGAACAAGCACCAAAATACAGAGCAACAGAGACCCCTAATGGTAAGTCCTGGGTCCTGGGTCCAGCTGAGCTGGAAGGGATGAGGTGGCAGGTTTCTCCTGCAGTGCACAAAGTGGGATTCTTGTGGGCTGTCAGGCTCAGGAGCCAGTGCCACCCTGGAGCACGCCAGGCCAAGCCTCCACCTTTGGAATTGTCTACATACTTCCCCTGAAAATTCTTTCGTCTGTGACCTGTGCCATATGCCATCTTCCCCATTGCTAATAATGATTACACCACACACTGAGACACAAATACAAATTCATAGATATGCAAATTGTTTTAGGTCAGGTTCCTTTTAATGACTAAATATAAACCATCCTTTGACAAGAGTCTAATTTCTTGTATTGAGAAATGAAGGCTACCTTTCAACTCATTATGAAACCCGTCTGTGCAAGGTGTTACTGTAAGTGGGGCTGAGGAAGAGAGCACCAGGGACCTTTGAAGAATGGGCATGTTGAAGCTGATGTTCCTTTCTTTTTCTTTTTTTTTTTTTGGAGACAAGAGTCTTGCTCTGTCACCCATGCTAGAGTACAGTGGCATCACTGTAGCTCACAACAACCTCAAACTCCTGGGCTCAAGCGATCCTCCTGCCTCAGCCTCCCGAGTAGCTGGGACTACAGCCACACGCCACTGCGCCAAGCAAATTTTTCTATTTTTTATAGAGATGGGGGTCTTGCTCTTGCTCAGGCTGGTCTTGAACTCCTGAGCTTAAGGAATCCTGCCTTGGTCTCCCAGAGTGCTAGGATTACAGGGGTGGGCCACTGCCCCCACCAACATTCCTTCCTTTACCCTATTTGGACAGATGTGGGGTCTGAATTCACATAGTGGAACTGAACCTAGGGTTAGGGCTAGGGCTAAGCACAGTGCTCGGGTTAGGACTAGGACTAAGGATTTACATTTCTAGAAGCTTATTCGCATCTATGTTTCCTAAGAACATTAGAAAGGCATTTCATAGGAAGAGGGTAATTTTTAGCCAGGACTTTCATATGAAAACACTTACATTCACTCAGGGAGAGCAGCTAGATATTCAGTTGTTTATATGTTTGCTTAACTCTGTGAAACCAAGCAGTGTGTACTGGTCCTGTCAAACTTATCTAAGAAAGAAAAAGGCATTTCGTAGGAAGAGGGTAATTTTTGTCCAGAATGGAGTTTCATAGAAAAACACTTACACTCAGAGAAAGATGCTAGACGTTTGCTTGTTTACAGGTTTGTTTAACTCTATGAACTGAAGCAGTGTGTTCTGTTTGTTATCAAACACCTCAATGTATAAGATGATGTTACATATAGATAATTCTCTTAGGATTAGGATTAGTGTTATTATAGTAGGGCTAGCGCTAGGTTTAGGGCTAGGGCTAGGGTTAGGTCTAGGGTAAGGGTTAGGGCTAGGGATATAGGTAGGTTTAGGGCTACGGTTGGGTAAGGCTAGGGCTAGGTTTAGGGTTTTGGCTAGGGCTAGAGTTAAGGCTAGGTCTAGGGCTTTACAATTTTAGAAGTTTATTTGTGTCTACATCCTACAAGCTCTAAGAACACAAGAAAAGCACTTTGTATGAAGAGGGTAATTTTCATCTGGAAATGAGTTTCATATGAAAACACTTACATTCACTTAGAGAAAGCAGGTAGATATTCGGTTGTTTATGTTTGGTTAACTGTGAACTGAAGCAGTGTGTTCTGTTTCTTGTCAAACACATCTAAGAAAAAGGCATTTATAGAAAGAGGGGAATTTTTATCTGGAAAGGAGTTTCATATGTAAATACTTATATTCACTTAGAGAAAGCAGCTAGACATTCAGTTGTTTATATGTTTGCTTAACTCTATGAACAGAAGCAGTGTGTTCTGTTTCTTGTCAAATATCTCTATTTATTAAAATACGTTACTTAGAGATGCACCTGTAGGCAAGTTAACATCTTTACAGTTTTAGAATCTTTTTCGCATCTATGCCTAACAAGCCTCTAAGAACACAAGAAACACATTTTGTAGGAAGAAGGTAATTTTTAGCCAGAAAAGTATTTCACATGAAAATCCTTACATTTACTTAGAGAAAGCAGCTAGAAATTTGGTTGTTTATAGCTTTAACTCTGAAATGAAGCAGTATGTTCTGATTCTTGGCAAAATCTCTAAGAAAGGCATTTCTTAGGAAAAAGGTAATTTTTAGCCAGAAAAATGTTTCATATGAAAACCCTTACACACACTTAGAGAAAGCAGCTAGACACTCTGTTAAACACTTACATTAACTTAAAGAAGCTAGATGTTTGCTTGTTTACAGGTTTGCATATCTATGTGAACTGAATCAGTTGTGTTCTGGTTCTTATCGAATGTATCAATGTATAAGATGTTACTTATAGATACTTAGGGTTAGTGTTAGGGGTAGTACTAGAGTTAGGGATAGCGTTAGGGCTAGGGTTAGAGTTAGGACTAGGGCTAGGGTTAGTGTCAGGGCTAGGGTTAGGGTTAGGGTGAGGTCTAGGGAATTCTTGTGTTTCTCCTAAAACAGTTCAGTTTGACCTCTGCTAGAGTCTGATGAGTTCCATGAAGATTGCAAAAATAAGTTTTTAGTATTTCACTTTTTTGTTAATTATTCTTAAACGACTTGCACTTTAAAATTATAAAGTTGCCCAGAGTAAATAAAATTTCCCATTAAACAGCATTTTAACACTGAAAATATGTCATAGCATGCCTATTGTTTGAAATCATACTTTTAAAATCATTCATGGTGTGCATTTATTTCTGGAGAAATCTCCAATGGGCAAGTATTTCAAAGTATGGATGGTAGACAAATGGCTATCAATGATGTACTGCATAACAGGCAACACTTGCTGCCTTTTGGAATGGCTCTCTTGTAAGATTCTTCAGGATGCCATTAGAGATACTCATGTTTACAGGGTAACTATGTGAGATAATGAATATGTTAAATAGCTAGACTATAATAACCATTTCACTATTTGTAAATGTGTTAAAACACGATGTTGTACTCCTTAAATATAAACAATAAAATATTCAAACTTAAAGCTAGAAATACTTTCATTTAGTAAATCAGCTCAAAGATTAAAAAAAAAATCTCTCAAAGACACTGTCAAATACTTGCTTTTACCACCCTTGTACATTTCACACATTATCTGGGAAAAATTAAGTATTTGGCACTGAGGAATAATTCAGAGCAACAACTTCTAGGAGAAAATGAGATAGCTGAGCTGGTGATCAAAAAGAACTAAGGCAGCTCCAATGAAAATGAGCTGCTAACTTTGTTACCATGGCATCAGAGGTGGGGCCCATCCTTTCTGTTTTCACACACCTGATGCTCAGGCTGAACACTGTATTATTTTTAACCACTTTCTGAATTATCCATCCCTTCATCCCTATGTTAATCATTCCATATTTCACAAATATGCCTTTATGTAGAGTGGAAAACTATACAGGATAGTTTGTCTGAAGGTGCTCACTAGTGACAATACCAAAGATCACAATAAAGGAAAGTTAATTTATGAAGTACCAGAATATGATGAGTGAGCAGTAGTAGTACTTGACTGTTTTGGTTTAAGTTCTAATCTTCTAAAAACTACTTAAACTCATTAATAGTTCTACTTAGAGAAATGCTGGCAAGCAATTTATAACAATATGACTGCCTAAATTATAAAGCTTCAAACATATCTACCTGAAGGACTAACAGATCAGGTTAACTACATGATACTATTACATGAAAAAAAAGCTACATAAAAACAAAAGGGAGAAAGACATAAACTATCCTAAAGCAATATGTCAAAGGTAATTTCACAAACATCATTTTCTAAAATTATATTATCTAGTTAGTTTTCACTTCTGACTAATCTCATGAGCCTCCCTAAAACTTATGCTTCTCAGCCAAATTAATCAGCTTACTTTATTTTCTATGATTCTATGTTTTGACTTACTCGCTTAGTTTACTGGATGAAGATTTTCTATGTTTCAATTCTTTCAGATAGAGTTGCTTATATCTTCTAAATGTGGTTTCATCAAAATCTTCTTCAGAAGTTTCTGTTGTGGAGATTTCAATTCCGATATGTAATGCTGAGTTCCATCTGAGTTCCTATCTGAGATGATGCCCATATCTAAAACAAATTCAAAGTATACATTTAAAAATAATTATAATATGCACAGTTATGTTTTTTAAGCTTTCAGTCAGTCAGATAGTAATTTTAAATATGTGAAAAAAGCAGAAATTTAAAGTGTTTATCATCAATATCAACTAAATTATTAATGTAATTCAATATTAAATCTAATTATAAAAAGGGATCATTCTTATTTTCTACTCACGTAATCTGATAATTCAAAGAATAACAGAATCACTTTAAATTCTTAAAAATTGAAAAATGTATCTTAAGAACAATTCAAAAGTGTGGTCTAATCTCTAAATCACAATTTTTTCTTTTCCTAATGTTCTTGTTCTATGCCAACTGGTCTTAAAAATCAAGTAATTGTCTAGTGAGAATCATTAATCTGAAAGACCAATTTAGTTTTTGTTTGTTTTGTTTTTTGAGACAGAGTCTCACTCTGTTGCCTGGGCTAGAGTGAGGTGGCATCAGCCTAGCTCAAACTCGTGGACTCAAGCAATCAATCCTTCTGCCTCAGCCTCCAGAGTAGCTGGGACTACAGGCATGTGCCACCATGCCTGGCTAGTTTTTTCTATATATTTTTAGTTGTCCAGCTAATTTCTTTCTATTTTTAGTAGAAACGGAATGTCACTCTTGCTCACGCTGGTCTCGAACTCCTGAGCTCAAATGATCCTTCTGCTTTGGCCTCCCAGAGTGCTAGGATTACAGGTGTGAGCCACCACAGCCAGCCCCAATTTAGTTTTAATGCTGATGGAAACTGAAATATTTAAAGGGAGAAACAGATGCTACATTCCCTCTAAAGATCTACAAAACAAGTTTAAGTCTTCTCCATATTAACAATGTATCTTTTGCCTGATTCTTATAGCTTTTCATTTTTCAGTTTTTTGTTTTTTAATTTTAGGGTTTGGATTTTTTTTTACTTTTTTTTTTGAGACAGGGTCACCCGGTGTCTCTCGGATTGCAGTGGCACGATCATAGCTCACTACAGCCTCCACCTCTGAGGCCCAAGTTATTCTCCTGACTCAGCCTCTTCAGTAGCTGGAAATACAGTCATGTACCACTACTCCTTGGTAATTGTCTTATTTTCTTTATAGAGATGAATTCTTACTCTGTTACCCAGGCTTATCTGGAATTACTGGGCTCAAATGATCCTTCCACCTCAGCCTCCCACAGTACTTGGATTATAGGCATAAGCCACCATGTGTGGCCTCTTGTGGTTTTTCTATCATCCTTTTTCTCTCCTCCCACTGAACTCTAATATTCTTTTTTTTTGAGACAGGGTCTAACTCCATCACCCAGTCTAAAGTGCACTGGCACCATCCCAGCTCACTACAATTCCTGGGCTCAAGTGATCCTCCAGCCTCAGCCTCCAAGTAGCTGGGACTACAGGTGTGTGTCACCATGATTGGCTAATTTATTTATTTTTTTTGTAGAGCTGGGGCCTTGCTATGTTGTTGACTAGGAACACAGTCAGAAATAAAAACAAAGTAATGCTTTCCTTTGATCCTGCTATATTGGAACTGTTCTTCAATTGCTCTTCTAACAGATTTCTCTACAGGGAAGTCTGTACCTTAGCTACTCAGTGTGGTCTAGGGACCAGGAGCATTGACTTCACCTCAAAACATATTAGAAATGGAGAATCCCAGATTTGCTGAATCAAATGACTTTAAATTTTAATAAAATACAGTTCTTACCTTCTACTTGTGCATTTACTGTGTTTTTTCTTTTTGATCGGCAGCCCCAGATGAATGTCTAAGATCTTTCTCTGAAAGATCCTCTGAGATACACTTATTCATAATTATTGATAATTTTATATTATAAATGAGTTTCATTTAAAAAGAAATACATTCCACGAAGATTTACTAATCACTTTCTTCAAAAATATCTTAAGTTCCTTTTGTAAAAGCAATTTCATATAAAACTAAGAGAAGCGTGTATGGAAAATCAAAACATTTCAATAGAGAACTTCATAAATGTCGTCTGGATCAAGCTCATCCTTTATCTGTGTATGGATCTGTAAATGGAAAGCCAAACGTAACATTCACAAACAAAATATTAACTTATGTGCATATTTCAACAAGAAACTAACCTTAAAATAACTGACTCTACTTTGCACTCCCACCAAAATTGGGAACATTTCTTAAAAATATAATACAATTGCTCTAATATTTACAACATAATTTAAAATATTTCTAATTATAGAAATCTTGGCACTCACCTGCGGCCCGAGCGATGTCGCCCGCCACTGCGGCACCACTCGGGCGACCGCAGCAGCGGCGGCGGCAGCGGCAGCAGCCAAGGCAGGGAAGCATCATGCGGCCACGCCAGAGCGGGCCCTACGGTTTGGCTTGGTCCCCTCAGTCCCGCCCGAGCCGGTACGCGGTAGGAGACCTCGGAGATGACACCAGAGCCTAGAGCCCAAGCAAGAGAGCGGCGCGTGCGAACCCCGGAAGTGAACCCGGCGAGGTCAGCGGAGCCGCGCCTGCGCAGTTCCGGCCGCGCCGCTTGAGGCAGTTTGAGGGGACGCGGAGGCCAGAATTTCTCTGGACGGAGGCTTTTACTGACTGATAGTTCTTTGCGAAAAGGCAGCTCTCAGTCACAAGCCTCCCTGGTTAAAATAAAGAGATCCATCCAGCTGAGCTCCGGAAGAGAAAGTATGGGGTCTACGGGCTGCCGCAAGGTTCAAGCCGCGCCGTTAGGCTGTCGAACCAGGTCGACAGTTCTGCCGGCGGCGTGGACCCCGGCCTGCGGCGGCCTCTCTGAACCGGCTTCACGTGTGGCCTGTACCGTGCACAGGAATGAGAACTAAGGAAATGGAAAACTAAGGGCGTGGGAGAGGAAATGACTGAGCTGGAGCCTTAAGATTTTATTTTAGTTCATAATGCTAATTTTTTTTTACATTTTTCAATTTCAAAGTATTATGGGAGTACAAATGTTAATATTTTGGGTTACATGAATCACTTTTATAATATTTGAGTCATGGTTTTAAGTGTGCCCTAAAATGCTGATTTTTAAAAACCAAAGTAGCCTTTCTAGTGCCTTTAAAGGTAAAATGTTTAACTTTTCAGTGTCCAAGAGTTGATGGGCCTCAGTGACACTAATCTTTGCTAATAAGGTTCACGAGAGACAGATAATTAAGACCCATGCCGTTGTATCCATTCATAACGAGAAACATCTCTTCATGCTGCTCGCTTCAATAGTAAGTGACTGAAAGCAAGAGAGTCACAGTCAGTCGAGGTTTATTAAGCCGAGATTTTAAGAACGTGCCTGGGAAAAGCAGAGCCCACACAGTATCTGCCGTTGGCTCTCAGGACAAGTTGAGAACTTCCATCTAAGGGCAAAAGAGGAGGGGTGAGAGAGGCAATTGATGGTATTCTTGTGAAGCTCTATTTGGTGCTCAGTAAATCTACATAAGCTGTACATCAAGATGATGGGGGTAAAGGAAATCGTCAATGTGAATATTTTCTCAGAGGGTAGAAGAATGATCTTATCTCTGCCCTGATTTGCATCTGTGGAGATAAACTTGTAATTGACATTTAAGAATTTATTAAGGCTACAGTCCTAAGGTTGTAATTGACATGCGCTCATTTTATAGGGGCTGTATATCTTGAAGGGATTTTTTTTTATGGTTGAAGAAAATAAATATTTTAACCCAAAATACATTTCTTTGCCATATTTTGAGATGGCTTCAGGTAAACAGGAAAAATGCCCTAAGACTGTCCAGGTGGGAAGACTCAGGGAGAGATTTGCATCTTGAACCTCCGTTAAATGCAGCCAGGCCCTGCCTGTTTGATCTGGGACAGGTTTGCTGAGAGTCTGACACCCAGAAATGTCTGAATAAAAGCATTTCCCTGAGAGTTGTTATGGCGAAATTTATCTGCATAACACGACCACCTGCCAGCCAAGCTTCTTTCTCCATCCCATACCCAGTTTGAAAAGAAAAATGATATTTAGCCAGTTTGTAAGCCCCTTTGTTTTTTAACACATTTAACTGCCATGTGAGTTGTATTTAACTCACGCTAGCTTTGGGCCGGGGCCTCATGAAGTACATGTAACTTACACATCTCATTATCTTAGGAGACACATGGTATGCAGGCAACTCACACTGCTATGCTATACCATGCATGTTACACGATGGGTGGCCCCTAGGCAAAACCCTGCAGTTCATTCGTGAAAATCTTACTTGTTGATGTTCTAATGTTGACAATTTAATTTCATATGACTCATGCACACACAGAAACAATTAAAAAATAACAAATTTTTCATTAAATTAGAACGAATCATTTTGTTTTCAAAGTTTTTATTCTATTTTCATACTAAAACACCATGGCCCCGAGAAAAACAAATTTCTTTTTCTAGTGTGACAATGTGTTAAAAGAGGGTACCTGTACCTCATTGGGGAGAGGATGGCAGTGCTTGTGTGACTCAGTTCCCCCTTTTGGCACAGTGAATTTTCGGGGATCCTAAGATTGTTATTTTTCCCTTACAATGCCCAGGAGGTCTTGCATCAGTGTGACCAATATTTTCTCGTTCTCCCCAAGAAGATTGTAACAGGAGAACAAATGAGCTCAAGGGCAGTTACTTGTGTATTACGTGCCTCCTTCAGGTTACACAGGGAAGACACACATTCAGATCATGTTCCAGTTGGGGGTTTGTGTTCAAGACACCCAGGAAAGCAATGTTTCAGCTGCCAATTTGAGTCCCAGAACTTCTGAAGCTGAGACTTCAGAAGGACCCCAGGAGAAGTCCAAGGGCTGATTGTTGTTGAGGGGCAAGCAACCTTGATTCAAGCCCTGCTATGTGCTAGATGCTGGTATTTAGTCTTTAAAAATGATACAGGGCTCATCGTGGTGGCTCATGCCTGTAATCCTAGCACTTTGAGAGGCCAAGGTGGGAGGATCTCTTGCAGCTAGGAGTTCAAGACCAGCCTGGGCAAGCTAGTAAGACCCCATCTCTACAGAAAAAAATTTTTTTAAATTAGCCAGCCATGGTGGTCTGTGCCTGTAGTCCTAGCTACTCAGAAGGCTGAGATGGGATTATCACTTGAGCCTAGGAGTTCAAGGCTGCAGGGAGTTGTGAGTACACCACTGCACTCCAGCCTGGGCAACTGAATGAGACCTTGTCCCTTAAGGAAAAAAATAGAGGGAGACAGAGTCTTTTATGTCAAGAAGCCAGCAGATTGCTGAGGACACACATCAGTAATTAGGTTATGGTGAGAAGAGCAGAGATTTGTAGTAGCCCACAAGACACGGGGCGCCCAGGTACAGAGAAGCTGAGGCCTGACTGATGAGAACCATTTTGCTAAATGAAGAAAGAACAGAGGGTGACAGAGAGCATGGCATTTTGAGAACTAAATTCAACCCTGGCTGTAAGTCGAGGGCAAAGGCTGGGAGAGAGGAGAGCACTAGGAAAGTAAACATGCACAGAGGGTAGAAAGAATTACATGTGTGTACAGGAATGTGAAATTCACCCAGAGGGTATAAAAAATGATTGACATTATGTATAATACTGGGCGGCCGGAAACCTGGGAGGAATGGAAATTGCACTTGTATACACATCTATAACTTCTGAATTCTGAACCATGAAAATTATTACTTATTCAAAAAATTCAAGAGTAAAATTATCTAAAAATATTTTTTACAATGATCCTACCTCTAATGAGTCCGGCGGTCTACTAGCCTCTGGGGAACAAAGCAGACAGCAAATATTTCCTACCTGCTTCCAATGTACTAGGTGTTTTTAAAGTTTTATGACCTGTTGGAGACACAACATAGCTTTGGGTAGATGCCCAATGTCAAAAGATGTATAAACAAATAACTATAATATAAGCAATATAACAACTGCTTTACCTAGAGGTATGGGCTCAGTTGGGGGCTGGGCAGCTTGCTCTGCTTGAAGGCTGGTGGAGGGTAACATGTAAACTGGGTTTTGAAAAATGCATAGGAGCTTCAAAAATGGGGAGAAAAAAGAGTAAGCAACTCATCAAAGAGAAATACAATTTCTTGAAAAGGCCTGAAATGTTCTTGGAGGAAAACAGTTTGGTATGATGATCAGGGTAACATAAGAAATGGCAGAAGCCGAGGCTAACAGGTGGGATGAGGCCAAATTGTGCAGGCTTTGCATGTTGTCTTTCTATGTTAGAAGGTTCAAAAACGCCCTGGTAGACATTGTTATTCTGGAAGTTGGAGAATATGTATTGTTAGGAAAATTAATGTTTTTCCCAAATAGCAGAAAATTTTAAATTAATGCAAAGAAGTTTTTTTTTTTTGAGACAGAGTCTCGCTTTCTTGCCTAGGCTAGAGTGAGTGCCGTGGCGTCAGCCTAGCTCACAGCAACCTCAAACTCCTTGGCTCAAGCAATCCTGCTGCCTCAGCCTCCCAAGTAGCTGGGACTACAGGCATGTGCCCACCATGCCGGGCGTGATTTTTTATATTATAATATTAGTTGGCAAATTAATTTCTTTCTATTTTTATGGTAGAGACGGGGTCTCGCTCAGGCTGGTTTTGAACTCCTGACCTTGAGCAATCCGCCCGCCTCAGCCTCCCAGAGTGCTAGGATTACAGGCGTGAGCCACTACGCCCGGCCTCAAAGAAGTTTTTATATTTTGAGTTTTTCCTCACATAGTTTATATGGAAACCTTCTAGTTTTTTCTGTTTAATATAAGAAGTAAAAAAAAAAAACTATAAATGTGGAAACTCAGAAGCAAGTAAATAAACTTGTCAAATATGTTCACAGTTGTGAGTTGTATATATTATGTAAGATATTTTCTGTTACTGAGATCATTAATGTGTTGGGATTAGCTATCATCAGTGTTTCATCTTTTCCACGAGAAATCAAAGTTTTCTGATAGTTTGCAACCCCAAACCCTGGCCCAAAGCTTGTTTTATTTGGCTTGTACTGTTGTTTTAATCAGGAAGTTTCTAGCTTGTCTTGAAAAATCAAAATATCTGGCAGTAGGGAGCCTATATATTCTGCATGACAACAATCAGGTGGTCCTGCCTGTCTCCTTTGGACATCACCACTTCACCACCACCCGCCTACACCTGCCCCCACTTCCCCCCGCCCTCCCCCCAGTAGTGGCTCCAGGTTCTGACACCCCTGAATTCAACCTGACGCCTCCGCTGGGCCTTTGTGTCTGGCCGGGGACAGATGAGGTGTTTCCCAGACAGTTGCTCCTGATTTCCACCAGGGGGCGTCTGCGACCCGGGTTTGGAGGGAAGGGTGGGGAGGAAGTGCTTGGAGCTGGTTCCAGCCTGGAAATGAAAGGAAAGCCTCCTTTCCTTCCTGGTGAGAAAGTCCCAAGGAGCAATTTCCTGTGATCCAAGTCAGGGAAGAATCAGGACTAAGGGCCACTTACAGATCAAGTATTTTGAAATAGGAGGAATACTATATTTGAAATGTCAGGAGTAATAGAAAAGCGTGGGAGAAGCAAAGCCACACTTCACTAGCGCTTGTGACATTCGAATAATACTTTGCAGTCTATAAGGCAGTGTCACAGGCAGAATATTATTTGATCGGCACAGAAATCCCGGATCCGAAATAGGATAAGGTGTCTATCCCTGCACGAGCTGGGACACTCAGAGTTCCTTGTCTCGCTTGAGAGAACCCACCCAGGCAAGAACGAGGCAGGTGCTGGTCCATGGCCATTTCATCACGCTTTCCTTTTGGGGCCAGGAGGGGGAGAGGCAAAGGCCCTGGGCAAAGGCAGGTGCCGACAGTATGTGGCTAGAGGAAGGGAGCAAGGAGTAGACAGGCCAGAAGAAAGAAGGTAAGAGGTAGGTGAGTTCCAGCAAACATCCTAACTGCCAGGTGCCCTTCCCTCGGCTGGGACTTGTGCATCCACCGGTGTATCTCAGGCACAGCGAAATCTCAGTTCATATTTGTTAAATAAATACATGGCCCAAGGAATTTGTAGAGCTTTTACCTGTTTACAGGAAGGACACCGACATTCCTTCAATAGGAGGCACAAAATTATGGGACTTGAACTGATGACCCTGCAGGGTGGGGACCTTCTCCCATTGGTCAACCTGGTCCTGGGTATCCCCCAAGCTCCACGGATGGCCGTGCCAATGTGTCTTTGTGGCCTTGATTTTGAGGATGTTATCAGTCAGGATGCAGAATCCTGCTTCCTCTCCCAGTTTTCAGTTGCTTTTTCTCTGTGTTTGTTATTTTTGGCTGCTGCGGGGAGACGTGCTTTTCATCTCAGCAGCACGTGCCCGGGCGGAGTGGAGGGAGAAGGCGGCAGCAGGATGCGGTGGGCTGGGAAGGGAAGAACGTCCCCTTGCTGGGGCGTCCCTTCCCAAACAAGGCCCCTAGAAAGTAAACACTGCTCATGTTTCCCTCCACCTCCCTGCCCTATGACTTCCCCAAGAAAAAATTATACAGTGTCTCTGTCTCCCACACCGTCACTCACAGAACAGCCTCCATTTCCCAGCCTCCCTTCATTCTACCCATTCATTCATTCACTCTGTGAAAGTCTTTAACACCTTTAGTAACTGTGACAGGAAAACAATGATGCAAGTATTAATATAGGATCTACTCTGTAACACTTGGGTTGTGAGCATTGTCGTGTATTTTTTTTTTTTTTTTTTTTTGAAACAGAGTCTCATTCTGTTGCCCCGGCTAGAGTGCCGTGGCATCAGCTTAAGTCACAGCAACCTCAAACTCCTGGGCTCAAGCAATCCTCTTGTCTCAGCCTCCCAAGTAGCTGGGATTACAGACATGCACCACCATCCCCAGCTAATTTTTTTTCTATATATATTTTTAGTTTTCCAGCTAATTTCTTTCTATTTTTAGTAGAGACGGGGGTCTCACTCTTGCTCAGGCTGATCTTGAACTCCTGAGCTCAAATCATCCACCCGCCTTGGCCTTCCAGAGTGCTAGGATTACGGGCGTCAGCCACCCCGCCCGGCCATGTTCTTTTTTTAAATTGAGATACATGCACACAACGTAAAATTTACCATTTTAAAGTGTACAACCCACTCGTTTTTAATATATTCACTATATTATGCAACCACCACTTCTGTCCCATTCCAGAGCATTTTTACCACCACAAAAAGAAACTCTATAACCATTAGCAGTTAGTCTCAACTTGCCCCTCCCCCCATCGCCTGACAGTCACTAATCTGCTTTCTGTCACTGTGGATTTGCCTATTCTGAGCATTTCATACATATGGAATTATACAATAATGTGGCTTTTTGTGTTTGGCTTCTTCCACTTAGCATAGTGTTTTTAGAGTTCATCCATGTCGTAGCATGTAACAGTGCCTTCCTGTTTCTGGCTGAATAATATTCCATCATATGTATATACCACATTTTGTTTATCCAGCCATCTGTTGATGGATATTTGGATTGTTTCCACTTTTTGGCTATTACTAATAATGCTGCTACGTCTATTCACATCCAAGTTTTGTAAGACCTTGTTTTTTAATTCTCATGGATATATACTGGAGTGGAATTGCAGGGTCCTATGGTAATTCTATGTCTAACTTTTTGAGGAGGTACCAGACTGTTCTCCACAGTGGCTGTATCATTTGACATTCCCGAGGTAATATATGAAGTTCCCTTTCTTTCTTTTTTTTTTTTTTTTTCAGACACAGTCTCACTCTGTTGCCTGGGCTAGAGTGCCGTGGCGTCAGCCTAGCTCACAACAACCTCAAACTCTTGGGCTCAAGTGATCCTCCCAGCTCAGCCTCCCTAGTAGCTGAGACTACAGGCGTGCACCATGCCCAGCTAATTTTTTCTATATATTTTTAGTTGTCCAGCTAATTTCTTTCTATTGTTTTAGTAGAGATGGGGTCTCACTCTTGCTCAGGCTGGTCTCGAACTCCTGATCTCAAACGATCCGCTCACCTCGGCCTCCCAGAGTGCTAGGACTACAGGTGTGAGCCACCGCGCCCGGCCTCCCTTTCTTTCTTAACCCAAGCAATTTAAGGGACTATTTAGTGGTCTCAGGTGAACCTGCCATCAAAGAGGGGAGAGGACGGATGGACGTCTGTCCAGTGCATATGGGACAGTAACCCATGGTGCGCTGGTGATCTGTCCCGAACCACAGAGAGGAAAGTGAGCAGAGACAGGGCAGGGAGTAATGTGGAGATCTGTAAATCTCTTACCCTCGTCAATTCAGGGATTATGTTTTGATGTTTAGGAGATGGAGAGGAGGCCTGAGAACATTTAATAAATGTCCGCTATTGAATGGGCAGAAGAGGGTAGGTCTGCATTTAGTCTCTTCCTTTGAGACTCTGGGCCTCACGGATGGCTGTGGCAGCGACAATGCCCTTTATACATGGTGGAGGGCTAAGAAGTGTGGAGGGCTTTTCCTAGAACTCTCTTTTCATGTTCCCTTCAAAGGTACAATGAAACAGAACACTGATGTCATCAACTACTTTATAAAAAATGGGTTCAATACATCCTGCTATAGAAACCCTATTAGCAGGCCAGGTGCGGTGGCTTGTGCCTGTATCCTAGCACTTTGGGAGACTGAGGCGGGAGGATCGCTTGAGTCCAGGAGTTCAAGACCAGCCTGCGGCAACATGTGTAAGTCCCATCGTACAAAAAATTAAAAATTAGCCTGGCATGGTGGTACTTGCCTATAGTCGCAGCTACTCAGGAAGCTGAGGAAGGAAGATAGTTTGAACCCAGAGTTTGATGGTGCAAGCGGGATCATGCCACTGAACTCTAGCCTGGACAACAGAGTAAGACTCTATCTTCGAAAAAAAAATCCCATCAACTTACTAAAAAAATCAGATTTAGTGCAGTTCATCTATTGAACCATTGCCAGAGTGTTCGATGGATATGGAATGGAAGTACAGAACTTCAGTATTTATAAGCCACAGCAGCAACCCTGTAGGTGAGTGTCCATTGAGACTATTAGTCCATCTTTGGCCTGTGAAATACAACAGGAAATGTGTCGTTTGTCTGAATGATGATAAAAATACTCATTGGCATTAACAGTAGGAGTCCTGGCTGATTTTAGATTAAAACTCTAAAAAAAGAGACGAATGCTCTTGGGTGGAGGAAAACACGTCTTATAACCAAACTCCCCAATTGTTATTATATAAAGAGTTTTCCATGACAAATATAAGACTTCAAATAAACTCTTTTGCTGGATAAGTCACTCGAGCCTTTGGCAGTGTAAAAATGTTTTCCTTCGTTCTCTCTTTAGCAATCAAAATGGGGAACCAGTAGATTCAGTAATGACTGCTCAACCCTACCCGGTCACTATCTTCCCTACAATGATCTCTTTTGTGGTGTTTGCTCACCCAAACTGTAATGTTGATACATATGAATATGAATGAGCATTTTGTATACAAGAATCCTTAAATTTACAAAACAAAATTGAGGACATTCTTTTCCCTAGAATGTTACAATCAAATGTGTAAAAAATACATATATGTAAATGTATAAATTAATAAATATAATATAAGGTGGACAGTGATGAAGGTCATATGGAAGGTTGGAATCTAGCGACACAAGGAAGCAGAAATCACTTCTGTCTGGAGTCAGAAGAAAGATTCCATCTTTGTTGTTGAGAAAGGCCAAAAGTTAATTTTTTAATTAATTAATTATTTATTTATTTTGACAGAGTCTCACTCTGTTGCCCAGGCTAGAGTGCCATGGCATCAGCCTCGCTCACAGCAACCTCAAACTCCTGGGCTCAAACAATCCTCCTGCCTCAGCCTCCCAAGTAGCTGGGATTACAGGCATGTGCCACCATGCCCGGCTAATTTTTTCTATATATTTTTAGTTGGCCAATTACTTTCTTTCTATTTTTAGTAGAGACGGGGTCTCGCTCTTGCTCAGGCTGGTCTCGAACTCCTGACCTTGATGGATCCACCCACCTCAGCCTCCCAGAGTGCTAGGATTCCAGGCGTGACAAATGTTTATTTTGAGTGTGGTGTTGGCCATGGTACCAGGGCAGTTATTAAGAGAATTTTAAAAGGCAAATCCTAAGCTAGAGTTGGGGTGATCTATGCTAGATACCCAGTTAAAAGAAGAGAGAAGGTGCCACCTCCAGGCCTTGTTTCCTTTTGCTGTATGAATAATTACTTTTTAAGGCCTAAAAGTCTATCTTATGCCCAATTAGTCACCCTAATTAAAGGCCACCATGATGTCTTCTCTCACATCTTACATTTTTCCTAATCTAAATACACTGCTTCTCGATGTCCTCTTCCAGTTCAAGATTTTTACAACTTGTTTTAATATTTGAGAACAATGAGAAAAGAAACAGCATTCCCCAATCATATATATGTACCTTAGGATTTTGATATTCTTTGAGGAAGGCCATGTGGATTTCATGTGTCCACATTGTGCTAGAGGCTCTCACCAGAGCAACTAGGCAAGAAAAAGGAAAAACAGCATCTATATTGGAACAGAAGTAAAACCATCTCTACTCATGGATGACATTATATTATATATATATAGAAAATCCTAAGTAATCACTAAAAATCTATTAAATCAGTAAATAAATTTAGCAAGATAGCAGAATACAAGAACAATGGGCAAAAATCAATTATATTTCTATACACAATAAATGAATGATCTGTAAAGGAAATTTTTTAAAAAACTTATTTACAATAGCATCAAAAAGAATAAAATACTCCCAAGCACTAACCCTGCTTAGCTTCTGAGATCAGTCGAGGTCAGGTGTGTTCAGAGTGGTGTGGTCGCAGACAAAAAGAAAAGCATAAAATACTTAAAAAAATTAATTTAGTAAAAGTAGTACAAAATTTGCATTCTGAAAACTATAAAACATTATTGAAAGAAATTAAAGAAGACTTACATAGATGGGAAGACAAGCCATGTTTATGGATTGGAAGACTTAATATTGTGAAGATGACAGTCTTCCCCAAGTTAATCTCTAGGTTCAATGCAATCCTGCCAAAAACTGATCTGCCTATTTTTTTTAGTGGAAATTGACAAGTTAATCATAACATTTACATAGAAATGCCAGGGATGAAGAAGAGGAAAACAATTTTGAAAAAAATTAAAAAACCACAAAGGTGGAGGATTCACACTTCCTAATTTCAAAGCTTACTACAAAGCTACAAATATTAATACTTTTTTTTTTTGAGACAGAGTCTCACTCTGTTGCCTGGGCTAGAGTGCCGTGGTGTCAGCCTAGCTCACAGCAACCTCAAACTCCTGGGCTCAAGCAATCCTCCTGCCTCAGCCTCCCGAGTAGCTGGGACTACAGGCATGTGCCACCATGCCTGGCTAATTTTTTCTGTATTTTTAGTTGGCCAATTAATTTCTTTCTATTTTTAGAAAGAGATGGGGTCTCGCTCTTGCTCAGGCTGGTCTTGAATTCCTGAGCTCAAATGATCCACCCACCTCGGCCTCCCGGAGTGCTAGGATTACAGGCATGAGCCACCGCACCCCACCTAAGAGGGTCTTTATACTAGCACAAAGCAAGGCATGTAGTTCAATAGCATATATGATAATTTGGCATGACATAGGATTCTATTTATACTATTATTTTTTAAATATAAATAGCAAATTGTTCCAGCATAGTTTATCAAACAGTCCACCCTTTCCACATGGATTTAAATCGCCTCCTTCATCATATACACAGTAGCTCCGAGTCAGTGGGCTCTGCTTGTTCCCCGATGCCCCTGCTCCCTGGCACAGCTCAATTGGCACAGCAGTCTGGGAAGGGAAAATTAGGAGCTCTCTAAACAAGCCGTGATAGAAAATTATGGTCTATTTCACGTGATCGCATCACAGGATGCTCTAGAAGACGTCAACTGATTTGGCAAATGACCACCGCGGTATCTCTGGGTGGTGGAATTACCTGTGTTTTTCATTTTCTTCTTTAGTCAAATCCTCTGTGACCAAATATTCAGAAGACAAACAAATAAATGTTAATAAAACAAAAAAAACACTTCCAGGGCATTTAAAGCTTTAAAGGTTTAAAAGAACTTACCCACAGGTATGTGTGGGTCCACCACACGGTGCTATTCTAGGCTCAGGGGCACTAGAGATTGTTGTGCCAAAGTCTGCCTGGCTGGCTCCGGCAAGAGGCTCATGCGACCATGTAGGAGTGTGAGCCACTTAAACTCTATTTCCCCAGGGGCGGCTCTCCCCTCCCGCCTCCTTTGCCCCAAACATCTGCAGGAGGATGGCCTTTAACTGACTAACAAGGGGGTGGGCTGAAAGGGGGATGCCACAGAGTCCCCCCCTTGGATGCAGCCAGGTGTCTTTTTGGAAGCCACAAAGTAGCTTCTTCCCTGGGCTTTCGAGAAACCAACACGGGGGACCCACAGAGCCTGGAATGGGGAGACAGGTGCTGGGGGTGGGCGCTACCTAGTGCAGAGCCCACCTGGACAACCAGCTAAAGGTGTGTCGGGGGTGAGGGGACCAGAGGGGAAAGTGTGTTTCAGGTTCCACCTGGATGGAAGGCATGGGTGAGAGGCGGGGTGCGAGACCTACCCAGCCTGCGAGGTCTCTAGTCGGGCCGTGCTCCGCCTCACTTCCTCCTAGCTATGTCGCTGGGTGCCTGTGAGGATTAAATGGCATGTGATAGCAAACACCTGGCAGGACCTGAATGTCACAGAGGCACGCATGTCGCCCTCCTTCCTACAGCCCTGCCAGAAGGCACACCCGCGGTGCCCCTCAGGAGGGCCTGGAATGTTCCTTGAAGCAGACCCCGGAGCCGGGAGCCGCCCGCAGGGAGTGTGTGTATAGTACGTCGCTGTCGCCGTCTCCCCCAGGGAGGCCACGGCCAGGGCTGCGGCCAGCCCTGTGACTGCCCAGGCTCCACGGTAAAAATGACAAGGACTGTGCAGGAAACCCTCTGGCTGCGGCAGAAAACCCCAGGGCTCGGCCTTGTACGTTGTACTTCTGGCCCTGCATCGAGCCATTGTGCAGATTAAACAAATAAACAGCAGTCTTGGCTTTGAGCTCAAAAGTTCTTTCTGGCATTCTCCTGTTTCTCCCCCAGCTGGGCCTTCCCTGCTGTTCAGACCAGAATCCCGGAGAATCCTTTGGCTCCTCTCTTTCCCGCACCCCCACACCAGCCAATCCCGTCACCTCTGTTTTTCAATGGGCTACGGTGGGCCCTCCTTGTCCCATTGCCCCTGCAACACCCAGTGGCCCCTGTGTCCCTCCCCACATCAGCAGTGCCCACCCTGGGCCACCCTGTCCCCACAGCAGCTGGGGATCTTTCAAACCAGGTGTCCTCAAACTACGGCCCTCGGGCCACATGCGGGTGTTTTTGCCTGTTTGTTTTTTTTTACTTCAAAATAAGATATGTGCAGTGTGCATAGGAATTTGTTCATAGTTTTTTTTAAATTATGGTCCGGCCCTCCAGCGGTCTGAGGGACAGTGAACTGGCCCTCTGTTTAAAAAGTTTGAGGACCCCTGTTTCAGACCATAGAAGGGATCTCATTGCCACCCTGCCCCCACTTAGAGCCCATCAGCGGTTTCCGACCCGCCTGCCCCACAGCTGCCCTGTCCCCCGACAAGCCCCCTTCCCACCCACCCACCGAGGCGAGGGCCCCCTCACTTGCTTCCTCCAGAGCCATCTGTTCATCTGTCTTCGATCCTCGGTCGGCCCCTCGAGAGGAGGCCAGGGGACAGGCACCGGGACCCTGGTTACTTGTGCCCCGTCCCAGCCCAGCGTCGGGCTCAGAGTAGCCGCACGGGCAGCATTTGGTAGAGACTGTCCGAGCGACTGTGTGAAAGCAGGCAGGGACGGACTCCTGAATGTCACCTTTGAGCCAAGTACACTTTTTTGATTCTCCAAGATCCAGTGCCTAATCTGTTATGGAATTAGAGTTAAAGAAAAAATTACAATGTCACGGTGGATTAGGGAGGGGCCCCAAGCACACACCCACGTGCTAGACCTCAGGCTGGTTTTGAGCCCCAGAAATTCCCGTGGGGACCTTGAGTGCTGACCCCGTGGGGAGAACCAGGCCTCTGGCACGCCGGCCCCCCTTCTCCGGACTGTCTGCATGTCGTCGGTCCTCACTCACTGCAGGAAAAAGGCGAAGCATTTCTCCCACTCTCACACACTCAGCACTCAACGCAGAGCACTTCCGGCCTCAGATGCGGAGGGGACTTTGCCCACACACCCAGCAAGATTCCAGCCAAGGGGCCTCTCGTCATTCAATTCCACCCTGACACCAGGCAGAGTCGGTCCCGCGGGTGGAGGGCTCAGCGCCACGAGACTGCCTCCGTCTTCAGACACCAGTCCCACGTAGTAGCCTGTCGTCTGTACTTCTGGTTGACTGGCTATCAATCGGGGCTCCCACGACCCGCTCCCCGGCTTCTGTCAGTATGCTCCCAGGACTCCGGGAAGGCTTATGTTTAGCAGTTTATTATTTGTTTATTTTTTTTGAGACAGAGTCTCGTTCTGTTGCGCAGACTACAGTGCTGTGGCGTCAGCCTAGCTCACAGCAACCTCAGGCTCCTGGGCTCAAGCGATCCTCCTGCCTCAGCCTCCCGAGTAGCTGGGACTACAGGCATGCGCCACCATGCCCGGCTACTTTTTTCTATATATCTTTAGTTGTCCGGTTAATTTCTTTCTATTTTTAGTAGAGATGGGTTTCGCTCTTGCTCAGGCTGATCTCGAACTCCCAACCTTGTTTCCTTGGAGCTGGGGTGTGCCACCCTGTCAGCTCCTACCCCACAGTTCCGGGATTTCTATGGAGGCTTCATGACGTAGGCAAGGCTGATTACTGACTCAACCTCTAGCCGCTCCCCTGTTCTTGGAGGCTGGGGAGGAGGCTGACAGCTCCAAGTTCATGGGTTGGTCCTTCTGGTGACCAGCCCGCATCCAAAGCAGTGCCTCCTTAGAACAAAGGATGTTCCTGTCCCCCAGGAAATTACAAGGGCTTTAGGAACTCTGTGCCAGGACAGAGACCAAATATATATTTCTTATTATATCATTGCTGTGGTTTGGATTGGGCCACTTCCAAATTCAGGCGTTGCCCACGTGATAGAGGCGGGGCCTTTAAGAAGAGATTAGGCCACGAGGGCTCCTCCCTCATGAAAGGGATTAAGGCCCTCACGAAGGAGCCTGATCGAGAGAGTTTGTCCCTTTTGCCCGTCCACTTTCGGCCACGTGAGGACACCGCAGCTCCTCCCCTCCGAGGACGCAGCCATGAGGCACCGTCATGGCAGCAGAGACGTCCCCAGGCCGCTGGACCTGGGGTGCTGTGATCTTGGTACTCCGAGCCTCCAGCACTGTGAGCAAATACATTTCTGCTCTTTGTAAACTAGTCCTCAGTGTTCTGTGAACAGCAGCACAGACGAACAAGGACCACAGCGAAATCACGTCGCTCTGCAGCAGATGTCTGTGGAGCCCCAGGTCCTCACCAGGCGGTGCTGAAGCAGAGGACCGAGCTGGGGACAGGCTGCCCCTGCTCCCAGAGAGCTCACGCTCAGCTTCGGGGAGCGCCCCCAACCAGTGAGCAAACTGTGAGGCCCCCCTGACCCCAGCTCCCTGAACTTACCCCTCCCACTGTCGCCCCAACTCCGGCTGCGTGCCCTGCTGCCCCTCGGTCAGGCCAGATGACACACGGGACAAAGTCCACACACCTCCTGTGGTACCTAGTGCAGCCCAGGGCCAGACCTCTGAGCTGAAGCTGAGGGTCCCGCCCTCCCCTGGTCCACACTCACTTTCTGTACGCTGGGGTGGGGGCAGCTCAGGGCAGCAGACGCACGTTTAGAGCGACTTTCCTAGTGGCACCAGCAGTGACCCAGGCCGACCTCGCTGAGCGCCTGCTCTCTCGTTCCTGAGCGGGGCTGTCCAGTGCAAGCGCCCCAGCCCGCACACTCCCCGTACGTTTTTGTTTTGTGTTGGACATAGAACAATAAACAGGGGCCAATCTTGCCTTAGGTGTACCGTCTAGCTTCCTGCAGAGATCGTGCTGTTTCTTTTCTTCCTTCTCTCCCTCCTGCCCGCAAACATGAGGCACCTACTGTCTGCAGACATCAGGCCGGGGACGGTGGGGGAGAACCACATCTGCGAACAGCTGGTTCTAAGGTGCAGCGGAGCAGAACAGG